TTGGTTTGGTTTGGTTGATCAACCTTTTCAACCAGCTCAGAAATTGTTGTCCTCTAATATTTTTGCGAGCATCGATTTTCAAGTGTTGCGTCATTTTCCCTCCAATTTTGCGAGAAGTGTTCTCGTTGGTCTCCGCGAAAATCGTCTTTTAAAAAAGCAAAGATGGCAGTTCATAAATAAACCTAACAAAGAAACGATATTTTAAAAGTAAAAATAAAGACACTAGTACAAAGATTTAAATATTTTAATAAGACACGCAAGGTTCAGGTCTTATCTCAGTCTCCTAAAACATTGTGGCTACATATTCGGATTCATCATCTGATTATTCGTCGGAATGAAACGTATTTTACACCAAGTTGTTGTAGAAGAACCGCAGCAACCACTCTGTCTTCCGTCAGGTTGACAACCTTGGCAACAGAAGTCGAGAAAGTCTGGAATCGACTATACCCAATCACAACCGCAATTCAACCTACTGAAAACGGTTGGAGGAGTGTCCTATTGGGAACTCCAAAACTCAAAAATCGGTTCTAATTGAAACGGTTGTTCCTAATAAAACACGCCCTATACTAATGCATGTCCCAAGGATTTTCTTCTACGGAATCACTAACTTTCCTGTTCTCTACGGGCCTTCTCATCGACAAAAACACCTGTCACGTTGTATACAGCTATTTCGAGAAAGGCTGTCGGAAAAAATGTGCACGCGACAATCCCGAAAGGTAATATGGGATATGATCAATACACTGTTCCTGAAACTCTAGCTGTCGAATTTACTTTTGTTGTTTTCCTTTATTTTATCTTGCTTGGTCTGAATCTGCCTGGCGGAGGCCGTGAAATTGGGTGCAATGATTAACTTTGCAAGCGTTACTTCTGTTTACAGGACGCCAAGAGTTGAACTGGGAAAGGCGACAACTCTAGGAAAAGATGGCCATTTATTATGTAAGTACATGCACGACGAGGACAACAAATATGGTCTGCGAGTGACAAATCTAAGGGGTGATAAATGGATTGCATATGGTGATGGGATGCTCCTGACAGAAAAGAGCAGGGATAATTTAAAGATAGCAGCAGAAGCTGTGCAGAAATCAGTTGATCAAGTCTACGAGGCTTACGCAAATCCTTCCGGATCTCTTGATCCCTCTCAGGTAACCGACCTGATACCTTTTGTTGATCAGGAGGAAAGAAACAATTCTCCAATGTTTCAGATGATAGATGGGAAGCTTCTCAGAAGATCAAACTTGAACGATCTCCAGGGTACTACTACAACTGCCAGTTGGTGGGGACCGACAACAGCAGCAATGCTACAGGTTTACAAACCTGGAAACTCTGCTATATAGGCGTGCAATTGCTCAAAACCTATATTGCCAGGAGAGAGCTAGAACTTTTAAAATGCTAGCTTAAAGCGAAAAATGTATTAAACATATTCGAGATAACAATTACTAGCAGCTGAAAATCTTACTAATTCTAGTGTCGATAGTTTTTTCACTACACGATTATTATTGAGATGATGTCACCTGTAGAACTGAATTCAGTTTCAGTTCATACATGTGCTAGTCAGATTTAGGGATATAGGTCTGATTTGATAATCGGTTCGTGTTTTGGGTGTAATCTGTGGATAAGAGATTCTTACATGTTTTCGATTTTATAAATGATTGTTTTTAAATTCTATCTGAATGTCTAGTTTTCTTCATCTTAAAATAAGATGACAATTTTAACTGCAAATAGAGAAGTACCGTAAAATTCCGAAAATAAGCCCTTCTACGTATGAGCCTCTCCAAATATAAGCCTCCCAAACCGGTAACGCAAAAAACCCTCCGTTAAATCGCTTCTCCCATTATAAGTCCCCGGGGGGCTTGTACTTGGAAAATTGCCCTCAAATACAAAGTAAAACAAAACAAAAACGGTAAATTTACTTCCAACTATAAGGCCAGCCCAGTTGGTTTTGAAACGAAAATTTCCTTCCGTAGATAAGCCCCGGGGCTTATTTTCGGAATTTTACGGTAGCTTTAAAGGGTCAGCCTGAAAAGTCGTGTGTGTATTATTTCTCATCGTAGCGTGAAAACAAGGCCAAGGAATGAATGACAGACTTAGCTTTTAGGCAATCAAATAGCGCTACAATCGCGAATAGAATAAACTGGAAAAACAACCCCTCCTCTCTCAAAGTCTACAGGGTGTTTCAAAAGTTCGTTCGATTGTAAATCGTATTTTGCGCAAAGTATTTAATGCTTCTTTAGGCAAATGTAAACTGATTCAGGTACGAAATTTATCTAAATAACCGTTCAAAGTAATTTCAAACTACAATTTGAAGAAAATGTAATATTTTTTCATTTTTGCCCCAAATGTGCACGTACGCAAGTTTTTTCCCGCCATATTTTTCCTGCACATTTTGTAGGTTTTCTATTTTCGTATTTTTGCCTTTTTCTTTTCTTTTTTCTACTCTTTCACGAAAATGAAGGCCTAAACTGTTTGTGCTAAAGCTCAGGCATCCTATTTTTTACGGCATTCTGGCCATTCAGTCAAAGAAATTGCAAAATTGTTGGACAACTCTGAACGATGAGTGAACAAGTGGTCAAAAGTAAAGACCTTAGAAGACAATCCAAGGAGTAGATCAGGTAGATGGCCGTTTGTTTTTTACAATCTGCGAGAGAAATGTTATCGAAAAAGCTGTAAGTATATGCGTAGTAATTCAACAAGGCAGAAAGATTTCAACTTCACAATAGAAAAGTTTCGAGTACAACGGTATGGAGATATGTGACCAAAAAAGGTTGGAAAGCCTTGACGAGAAAAAAGGCGGTGCACACTTTATGCAGGCATGGTATCAAAAGAATTTGCAAACTTTGTACTAAAGGATGACCGACAGGCAAACTCACGTGATGTGAACACTCTAGAGACCTTCTGGATTTTTGTTGATGAGACAACATACAAAGATCCAGCCCCAAAAACACTGGACGAGCTAAGACAGCGACTACGTTTCGCCTGGAAAAATGTGAATTTAGACACGCTTTCGGAGCTCATACATTCTATACCGCACCGCTTAAAAAATGTCAGAAACATAAAGGAAGACATTCTGTTGACTAATATTTTAGTTAGTCAATGTAAAATGAATAAAAAATAACATTGCTTAGTTTTACAGAAGGTATTTTTAATAATCAGTGAAATTTAAGCGAAGCAAAAATCGGAACGAACTTTTGAAACACCCTGTAAGTTTGTATGTAACGCGTAAGTTAAGTAAGGGCCTGTTTACATGAAGGTGGGGGACCCCAGGTAGGTGAGGTAACGTGTGGTGTGTCACCAACACATCATGTGAACGTGATCAAATTAAAATGAGAGATTATATGGACAGGCGGGTTACCCCACCTAAGCGGGTCACCCCACCCACCTGGGTTTCCCACCTCTATTTAAACAGGCCCAGACTGGGAGCGATATACAAGAACACTTGCTGTGTCTGCCAGGCCACTTGCATCGGTAAGACGGGTAAAAACCTTTGCATACACTTAACTGAACACATACGCCAGTCAAAAAAGAATGTTAACATTAACAATTGAATTACAACGGAACGCCACTTCCAAACAAGCCATCGCATCACTTGGATATATTACCTTTTCTACAGGCTACCACCAACGACCCACTTAAGAAAGCTGGTTTATGCAAGAAACACTGCTGAATCGAAGTCAGAAGTAGGCGGTTCCTTGCTCAAAAGCTCTCAAATGAAGCAAATCTTGACATCTATAAAATAAGAGAAGATACTGAATATTTTGACTAAACAGTGACCGTTTTCACTGGCAAAAGACTTGGGGAAATGCACTCCTCAAATCCTCATCAGTCATTCAGGCCGTTAATATCAGGAGCCCGTTCCTCGAAAGTACCGATAGTTAATGTAAGATTGTCTTCTTAATATTCTCAAGGTAATATGACAAAGGGGTCAGTTAACAAAACAAAAATGACGGCTTGTTTGCCAGGAACCGATTGTTGATTTCGGACGTTCGAGGAACGGGCCCTTAGACTACACTCACCGGGACGATCATACTCCATCTGCTTATGTCATTCGACTGCTTTCGAGTTTGAAGAACAAAGACAGACAGCAGACAGGAGGATACGCAAAGAGCAGTATGCAGGAACAAAAGCTGCGACAACGACTGATTGACGAATCCAGCAAAACTAACACGGATAGAATGACCGGACAAACGACAATTTTACTGACAGAGAACCAATTGCAATGCACCAATCACAGAGTCCTACTTAATTGACCAATTCAATTGAATTGAATTCAATACGGTGTTTTTTTCACTTACACAAAATAAGTAAGATAATAATAATATTACAACAGAAGGTTATAAACAAAGTGAATACCAATACATATGTAGAAGCTGCAAAGAAATTACATGTTCAAATAATTCACAAAGTCAATAAAATTCCTTTCATACCACAATACTCACAAAATAAAGTGAAGAAGCGGTCGGAAATAACTCGGAGGAATTTTACATATGATTACCCAAATTGATTACGCCAAGCAAGCATCTTGGCGTTTGCAACAGGACCGAGTCAACAAATATACTTAAGGTTCTATATGCTAGATCCCAAAACTAATTATTGTCATAAGGAATGTAGAAGTTGCGAACACGTGAACTTTAACAAACAAAAGTTATAAACCACACACAGCAGAAAAATTGTGATAAACTTATCCGAATCGATTTTCTATATTCTCCTATATTCTCCTCCTGTTTTGCTGTTTTCTTCAATTTGAATCTTTTTTTCGCATTTCATTAGGCAAGTGTTGATATTCCCTAAAATTCACGGTGTGCGGTAACTAAGTTGTTGTTGTACTCATTGGTCACATGATGTTAGTAGAATATACGCACCTGCTTTTTGACCACAAACATAGCGTTGATAAGTATAAACAAATTTGTGTTGTTTTTTACTGATTATTCGAGCGTAAAAGTAGAACATTTGTTTTGGAGGCGAATTTGAATTACGAATCCAGCGTTACATTCACTATAAAGACAATGGATTTAACTGCGAATCGTCGTTTCGTCGAAGTAGTTTCATTTGACTCCTCAATCGAGCACCCAAAAATTGGTGAAAAAATACACCTAAAAGATGAATTTAGGAAAATAACACTCCCAAACGGTGTAGAAGTTAAGTTCGAGGAAATTATAGGCCTCGCTGGAGACTTGTATGGATTGCCTGAAAACCCAATTATTGATCCCTTTAAAGGAGAAGAGGAAGACTTCTTACGAAAACAGCGCTTTCGAGGTGCCTACGACACACTGGCAAGGGCACCAAAGGATGAATTACAGAAGGAACTTGACAAGCTGTTGGCTCTCTTTAAGAAAGAAAGAGTCCTGGATGCAGAAACAGCGGACGAAATCACAGGTGGTGTCTGGTTCCTCGGCATTCCAGTTATACAGGGAAGGAAGTTAGAACTGGCTGAGAATAATTACGACCATTTTCTTCCTTACGCAAAAGACGCGTACCTGACCGGTCATCAGTTGGCAATAGAGAAAGCACGAGAAGCCAGTCAACATCCACGAGATCCTGAATTGAGGAAGAAACTCCTTCATGAAGCATTTTCAATGGAAGCATTTGCGAGTCATTTTCTTACTGACTGAAAGTATACGTACATTACATGTGAATTGTTTTAAAAAGAAAAATAGCACTGTAAATATATTCGTTTATTTTACGAAACTTTGATGCCTTGTAGTTAAATTATTGTGACAAATTTTTGATGAGATGGCGTCATGCTGACTTGTTAAGAATCTGATTAACATCCATAAAAATATCTGCTTGCAGGACGCCAAGATTTGAGCTGGGAAGGGCGACCATTCTTGGGAAAAAAGGCCATTTACTTCGTAAGTACATGCATGACGAAGACAACAAATATGGTCTGCGTGCGACAAATCTGAGGGGTGATAAATGGATTGCATATGGTGATGGGATGTTGCTCGAAAGAAAGAGCAGAGATAATCTTAGGATTGTAGTAAAAGCTGTACAGATTTCAGTTGATCAAGTGTACGAGGCGTGCAGCAACGCTACCAAAGCTCTTGATCCTTCTGTGGTGACCGAATTGATACCTTTTATTGACCTCGAGGAGACAAACAACGCCCCACTTTTTCAGGTGAAGGATGGGAAAGTCCACAGAAGATCAAATATAAATGATCTTCAGGATACAAGTACTACTGAAAATTGGTGGGGGAGAGATTGAGGGGCTGAGATTTTTTTTTCGCGAAGGATAGAACGGCGCCCGAAGCAAATCGTTTTAATTCATTTCTTAGAATACTAGAAATGCAATTTCAACGAAAGAAAAAAGACAAAAACAAACAAAAAAGCCACAAGAGCTTGTTTGAAAGTTTGTCGAAAAACACATGAAAACACATGGAACTAAGCTACCTTGACCAGCTACGAAAGAAGACAAGTGTTGTTTCTTCATGGTCGCGAAGCCATTCGCCGATCGAGTCACTCGCCGATAGATAACTGCAGCTTGTTTATCCGACATCAAGAATATAAATCACAAGAAACCAGCTACAAATACAGGCTATGCAGCCACTCACTAGAGCAATCGAGGCGGCAGTATAGCTTCTTTCCTCGTTCAGCAAAACCAGCTTGTGGCTTCAAACAACTTCATAACAAGCGACCGAGGTAATACCGGTAGTTTTTCTCCGTTGTTCTTACTTTTATAACTGCACCGAAAATCCAAATTCATAGTAATTTCGACGGCTGTCACTTAAAAATTCCTTTCCTTCACATTATCTGCCAGGTTTTTTAAGCTGTTCTGCTGTGTAAAATCCTAGAATCACGATGAGTTTTAAAAAAACTAATGTTCATCGCACAATGTTTTGATTTTTCATTCATGCAGTCTAGGCGAGTCCGTTCGCGCGTTGACAGTTTTGATAGACGTGTGACATGTCAATAGCGGAAGTCCCTTGTCTTTTCCGGTTTGTTCTAGTCGAGGCGACTCAACGAGATTTTGTGGGCGTTTTGAATAAAACAATTATTCCACTCGGGCTTGTTGGATATGAAATGATTATAGCCAACTCGGCGCTATGCGCCTCGTTGGCTATCTATCATCTCATATCCAACGCGCCCTCGTGGAATAATTGTTAATTATAAACCTAGAAACAGTTCTGTATAGCTGAAGCGCCTTCCCCACAACAAAACAAAAAAACTGCATATATCAGGTACAGTCAGAGAAAAAGAAGGATTATTGTACCTTACTTTGAAAAATAAATCACTTAGTTATTATCCACAACCACGCGTAATCTTCTCACGTTTAAAAAAAGCGAAATATCATCAAATAACACGGAAAAACTCAGCCTGTTGGCAGATAAACACTTCAGTAGTCGTTTCTCTTACACTCGTCTTATTCAAGTTCCCGAATGTACAGTCACACGGTCGGCAGACTAGCATAGCCCCTGTTTTCACACCAGAAAAATTCTTGGTCTTCAATTTTGCTATTGTATAATTAATTTGATCCTAAAAGGCTGTTCCCGAGGCCAAAGACTTAGTGGTCACCTTAGAAAAGCGAACAATATCGTACCTTCTAGCAAAATTAAAGACACTGGGGGTTGGTTGTACCGCTCTGGAATGGTTTGGAAGCTATTTGTCGGGACGTCAACAATACTTAAGGATCGGTGCTGAGGCGTTAAGTCTGGGTGCTATTTCTCATGGTGTACCACAGGGTTCCATCCTAGGTCCGGCGCTATTTACCATCTACATTAACTTTCCAACATTCCGAAATTTGGTTCCCTGGAATCAAACGTTGACGATTCAAAACTCTATTTGTCATTTTCGGTCAACGATACTTACAGTGTGGTCCAGCAAATGAATGATGATTATCGAAGATTGCGTCTTGATGCTGCTATAGTAATAATATATATATATAATTATTTGATGTATACGGTAGGCGTTCTCGTGTTTAAGTGTGACAAAGGGCTAGCACCAAGTTACTTGAGTGATCGCTTTGTGACAAGATCTACTGTTCATGATCGCAACACAAGAAATAAGGACTATCTTAATACTCCAGCTTATCAATCCGCCGCAGGTCAACGAACTTTTATATTATTATATAATTAAACTCTGGAACTTGTCGCCACGTGCGATCACTGCTGCAGACAGCCTGTGCACTATCAAAAAGATACTTAGAGAATTCCTTTTTGAATAATTTCTTTTCAGCTAGGAGAGTTACCTATTGATGTTTTTATCAATTATGGATTTATGCTAGTGCATTCCGAGCTTATTAATAAGACACCAGGGGATATTAGGGGTTATGTAAGGTGTGGGGACAGGAGATGTAGGGTATGTGATTTCCTTGGTGCGGGCACGGACTTTAAAATTAATGTTACTCATAAAAATTTTGTAATTAACTTTAACCTTAATTGTAACTCTGATCATGTAGTTTATCTTTTGTCGTGTGCTAGATGTACTATCCAGTACGTAGGTTCAACAATTACCAAGTTCTGGACTAGATTTAATAACCATAAGTCGCGACTCAATGCACATAGGAGGCTGTCAGCGGAGAACAAACTTAGGGATGAACCTGTGGACCGGCACTTTTATCAGCCAGACCACCAGGACCTTAATGATGTCCGTGTACAGCGAAATTTAGTGAAATTTAGAAAAGGAAATCACAAGCTTATGATTGAACTAGGTCGATATCGGGTCCATCATGTGACCAGAGAAAACAGATTATGTCCATTATGTGAATCAAAGTAAGTTGTGTTGAGACTCATTTCCTTTTTCATAGTCATAAATACTCTGCACAGCGGCAGGTCTTCTTAAACCGAGTGAAAGAAATGGAACCTTAAGCATTGAAGAGAAAAACAAATTTCAGAGAAAATAAAACTACCAAATATCAGGTCAGTTTTACATATATGATCAATGGTGCACGTGCCTAAAATTCCTTGTCCTTTAACTCTAGCTTTGCAACGGACTTTGATACGTTATTTTATCAGTGAGCTACTTTCTGTATTCATTTTCTTTGTATCGGTTTATTTGCTTTCTTTTTACATTACCATCCTCTATTCTATGCGAAACCAGATGTTCCTGCATGTATAAATAAATAAATAAGTAAATAAATAACCCTAAACAATAACCTAACTTGTGCTCTCTAATACAAACAATGGAAGTGAACTTTTCTTATTGTAATAAGCCAAAGTCACCACGGAAAGTTATAAAATGTGTATTACTAGAAACAATTTTACTTTGTCGCTAAACAGTTTTAATATTTTTAGAGTCACCCAAACTTACAGTTTCTTTATTGAAATTGTTAAATGATAGTGCTTGTATTACTTTAATCATAATTATGCTTGTTTTATGGTTTTCATTTTCCTCAGACGAAGAGAGGCAGAATGATCCAGATGTTGACCTTGTTTGTTTGTGAGTCGAAGGAAAAGACAATGTAATGTTTTTAATCAAAATAATCAGAAGAAAAGGGCTCATAGGGTTCAACTCGGTATCAGATTGTAAATATTTCATGGCTTTCCTCTTGATGTACATGTTGTTGGATGCAGTTGCGGTGTGTACCTTACCGATGCTTTTACCGAAGCTTAAGACATCCTAACAGCTTTTATTACTTTCAAGACAACAAAACTAACATGATTCGGAAAGATACAATTTTTATATCATTTCTTATACTTTGCCTTCCACTGTTCTCAGACGGAAACTGTTTTCGAGACCATATGTATGGCAAACAAACAAAGGATTACAGACTAGAAGGCTTTCAAATCCAAACTCTGTTGGCGAGAGGGATTTTAACTTGTTTTCAGTCATGCCTGAAACATGAAAAATGCGAATCAATTAATTTTGATAACTACTCTGGTGTGTGTGAGTTAAATAGCAAGAGTCTCAGTGGATCAGAACAGCTTATTTACCGGCAAGGAAATATCTTTGTGCAATCAGTGGCCATTAAAAGAGTAAGTCAAATTCTTTCTAACAAGTCCTTTTTTAAGTATACGTCACTACTATTCTCTGTTCGTCTATGAGCAAACAAAGCTTTGCCTCTTTTCTTCCTTCACCTACTACCACAATTTTTAAGAAGAGGTGGAGACGTTCTTAAGAAACCAAATATAAACATTTCTGAAGCTTTGGTGGTTGTAGAGGCTTGACAAAATAAAAAGAGGATAACAGAATCAAATATTCAGTTACTTTATAAATGAAGATTTTAGCTCCATTTAATTTTCTACTTTAATTTCTTTCTTTTTCATGATAATCATTGACAGCAATCATCGTGCGCTGAAATTCACCAGACGTCTCCCTCAGCATCAAGCGGTTACTACTGGATATATATTGGCCAAGTCAAGGTTCAGGTGTATTGTGACATGAAAACTTTTGGTACGCAGTTACTGACAGAAACTTTTCAGGATTATATAAATTATCAAGATAAAAAAAAGGAAAGGAATTTTAAGTGAACGTCATGTAACTTTACTGACTTCAAATCCTATAAGGAAAACTGATAAGTCTAGATGTACAGTACATGTATAATAAATCGTACACGAGAAGGAGTTTCAATAAGATATGCAAAAACCGGAAAAGTAAGAGGAAGAAATACTAACATCTTTTCATTATTTTTTCTTTTCTTTTGCAACCTACTTTTCAGTGTTTGCAGACTCCTGGT